CTGGTTTTCCACAGGAAGTCTTTTCTCCCTTCCCCTTCTCTCCCCTCCCCTTTCCCTCTCTCTTTCGTTTTCTTTTCTTTTCCATTTCTCCCTCTACTCATGGCTAGCCTCCTTCTCATGTATTGCATGTCATATATTGATGCTATGGGGTAAATGACTTACCTTTTTTAACCTTTTTGGACATTATGCTGTGGAGAGCTATAGCAGAATCTGATGGAGGGTGCTGCCAGCACCACGAATTAGGGATTTCTCAGGCATGCAGTGACTGGGCAAGGCTTTGAGGTGTAGGGAAGTCGTGGGTTCTATCTGACAAGAAGAAAATACACAAATATACAATGAAGACCGGTAGAAACTGTAAGTTGACACCTGCAATCTGTTCTTGCCTTTTTCCGCAGTGATAGAACCCTTGGTCTTTAACTGGCTCATCACGGTGCAAAATAAAGAACTTATTTCTCAGCATCTTTTTTTTCAGGTCACATGACTAATTCTGGCCAATAATATGTGGTGTTTGTGGAGCGTGCAATGTCTGTGGATTGTCCTGGAAAGGTATGGGGTTACCTTCTGCTCTCTGGATTCTCGCAGGATGGAATATGAGCTCAATGACTGAGGTTTCAGTGGTCATTGTAGACCATGCTCATCAAAGATGTTCTGGATATGAACCTGCATAATCAAGCAAATGCATAGTAGGAGCTTGAGTCCCTGATACTGTGGAGCACTCTACCATTCCTCAGTAGCTCCATAAGACTTCTGAAACATCAGAGAAAATACATTTCTACTTTCTTTGAGTTCTTTTTGCATTGGGATTTTCAGTTATCCCAGCTGAATGAAATTCTCACTAATAGAATGAGCAAGGCTTGATGTAGAAAGATGAGCCAGGAAACTATTGCTACAGCAGGGAACAGATGATAAGAGCCTGAACTAAGGGAGGATGGCGAGGGAAATACGCTAGTGGGGCTGGGAGGTAGGATACTCTGGATTTAGTTACTAATTGGACGAGGAGGTGAGAAATAAGGTGAAAGCAAAAATAGAGTATTACACCTGGGTTTCTGGCTTAGACAGCACAGAGAGGCAAGGAGTATGGTTATGAATCCCCAGGGGTACCTGCAAAATGAGAAATCTAAGGATAGACCCAATGAACCAATAGAACCTTGAAGAACATGAATAATTTAAGGAGTGAGCAGCAGAAGGGATCAGTAGCAGAGGTGTCACCAGGACCAGTGGCTGAGAGATTAATAATGTCAGTTGTGAAAAGTAAAATATGATGAGGAATGAAATATACAGGGATCCTTTTTATAAAAATAATTGTGATGTGGTGGACTGGTAAGCTAGATAGCTTAGGAGCCACTGTGTGGTGAAGAGATGGACAAATTTCCCTAGACTGTATTTTAAATGATGTTACTCATAGGAGGAGAGAGAGTTGCTGTCATAATGGGATGAAGGTTTTTGTAAAGTCTGTTTAGTTTTATTTTTATGTTTCACATAGTCTCTAGTGTGTTTATAGAATGCAGGAGAGCAGCTCTTGGTGGAGAGGTTGAGAGATGAGAATCAGAACTTCCATCAAAGCCCTGGAAGGCACCAAGTGGAGGGCACTGGCCGAAGGATCAGCCTTGAGCAGGTTCACTGCTTCCTCTGAGGCTGAGAAAGAAAGGGAGGTGGAGGTAGAAATCAATGCCTTTGAAGGTATTGGCTTGGGGAGCTGAGACAGTTTATACTTTTCACTTCAATTTTCTTGGTGAGGTAGGAGAGAATGATAACCTTGAAGAGTTGGTGATGGTGTTGTGGTGAACTTAAGAAGGAAGGTCTGGAAGGCTACCACAGACGAGGGGAAAAGGAAGGCACACAAAATGGGGTAACAGGTCCCCCTCCTTCCTATAAAGGGTCAATACAATTTTAATGTTGGCCTTTGTAAAATCTAGTGGTAAAGACAACAGGAGCATTGAGGCAATAATAATGGCATTGAGATGAGCTGTCTCATATCACCTCTATCCTCATTGCTCAGTTTATGGTGATGTACAGTAAGGATATCCAGGTGTATGGATATTGTATGAGCAAAGATGACAGAGACATCCATGATCATACAGTATCCCTCCCCAATTGATGAGCTCCAGTGGCTGGTGCACTTGTTATTGTTTTGGCTTCCAATATGGAAACCAAGATTATGAGAAAGCAATCTAGACCAAAGTCCTCTTCAGTGGCCGTTGTGGTTTGTTCACTGACAGCAAAGGGAAATCATTCAGCTGCCTGGAAGGGATATGAGCTGGGGATGTTTGAATGATCCCAAGAGAGATCACTATTATGGAAATGTTGAGAGTGTCTAGACTATCGCACATTCTCTTCACAGAGCCATACTACATGGGATGTCTTACCTCACATCAGTTTTTGTCTGGTGGCCCAAATTCTTGGTCATGTTTTTCTCAAGTGCTGACTCTTAGAGGTTGGAACTAGTTTTTTTCTGACATCCCCCATTTACTCTGCCTCCAAGATTCTAAATAATTTCATTTGAGGAAGTCACCAGTCCAGCATTAGGATAACAAAGAAGGTAAAGTTCGCATGTAGCCTGAATTTCTTTTTCTATCTTGGTGTCTGTTATGGACAGAATGTTTGTGTCTCCCTCAAGTTATTATGTTGAAACTTTAACTTCTAGTACTGTGATATCAGAAAGCAGGGCTTTGGGAGGTAATTATGATTAGATGACATCAAGAGACTGGACCCCTTATGATGGAATTGTAATTGATGACCTTAAAAGAAGATGCTGGAAGGTCTCTCTCTCTCTCTCTCTCTGTCTGTCTCCCTCTCTCCCTCTGTCCCCTCTCTCTCCATACATCCTAAGAAAAGGCCACGTGAAGACACAGTGAAAAGCCAGCCGTTCACAAGTCAGGAAGAGAGCCGTCACCAGAAAATGAATCAGCCAGCACCTTGACCTTAGACTTCCAGCCTCCAGAATTGTTAGAAATTAATTTATGTTGTTTAAACTACCAAGTTTGTGGTATTTTGTTATGGCAGTTCAAACTGATGATGACAGCATCACAATGCAAAACCACACTTAAAGAAAAAAAAAGGAACAGGATCACACATTTTTACCCAGCCAAACTCTTTCTAATCACTAGAATTCTCCTCTGTTTTTGAGCGGCACGATGAGAACAGGATGTTGGAAGATGTGATTTGGAGGGCAGAATGCCCAGGCTTGGGGCACAGCCCTGGTACTATAGCTCTCCATTTCCTCCGGTTTGCTTAGGTGTTGGGCTCTTGATCCTGGCTTCATTAGGATTCAATTTCAGATGGAAATGGGCATGAAACACATGCTGAGAGCACTCATTCTCCAGGGGCATTAAATCACCTTGTTATTTACTACCCTCTAGCATCCTCTAATTTACATGTGGTCTCTTCTCACAGAAGTGCTTCAAGTAAATCTGAATTTGTTTAGACAATTTTGTGGGTATTGTAAAACCACAATTGAATTTCAGGTCTTTGTCATAGTCCAGCCAAAATGCACTCCAATTAGAAATAATTGCTGTTAATGCTGTTATGATGTGGTGGATACCCACTGTGCCCTCCGGACCTTTGTTCTACTGAATACCCGAAGAGTCTTTGCTTTATTCTTCAACTAAATAGACAGGCCCCTAGAATATACGCTTTTGGAATTGTAATATAGCAGCAATATTGTGCCTCTCTCTTAATTAACCTTGTTAAGCAAGGATTTGGAACGTCAGTTGGTTAGTCTAAGAGGGTCTTTTGATCCTCTCAGTACACATCTACAGTCGAGTAAGATGTCACTCTGTGAAATAAAATGCCTTTATTCTTTGGCAGACACCAAATATTTTTATCATTCTTGAAGTAATGATGTGATAGTCTTGCTTAATGAAATGATGCTTGTAAAGTGCTTAGCCTGGAGTCAGGCACAATAAATAATATTAGTTATTATTGTTATTCTAATAGAACAGGTTTTTTCTCCTAAGGCTTTCTGAATGGAAAGGAATACAGGACAGAGTTGTCAGGCTGCTCTAGATGAATCAGACTTAGTGGATTTCAGACTCTGATCTGAGACCATTTCCCCTCTAAGAGCATCTTACCCTCAAGATATTCAAATTCTCAATTCTTGGGACTCTTACAGGGTCTCCCAAGGTACCTCTCATCATCCCTTCCTGCTCTCCTTGAGAGGGAAAGGGACAAAGGCTGCTGTTTCTCTTGCAAGGCAGGTGCCCCTACCAGCCTGGGAAGGAGTTCCAGGGATATGGTAATTAACATATTTTTCTTAATCTTGCTTTTATAGTTAATCTCCAAAGCATGAAAGCACTTTGCCAGTTGATTAAACTGTAAGAATACAATAGATCCGAAGTGAGGGCAGCACTGATGAATACAAATGCACAAAATTGCCCATTCTGTGGAAAAATACCTCAACTCGAATCCCAACTTGAAATACTAAGTTAAACACGTAAAATTAAACACATGAATATGTTTTTTGGATCAATAGGTACCAGTCAATCTCACTCAGTAGTGTTTTATTTTCAGAGAAAGAAGCAACCACTCTTTAATCTCTTCTAGGAAAAAAAAAAAGGATCCTATTTAAGAGTTCGGTCTAGGATCACTGCCTACAAGAGTTGTTCAGGAAATGTCCAGTAAGACTCCCCGACACAACGGCACTGGGTGGGCCTTTAGCCAGACTGGCAGTCGATCTGAGTATCCACGGCACTCAGCTGTAAGCGTTTGTGTAGGGGCTTAGGAAGTAAGTGCATAGGAGGTGGGCCTCTTATTTATTTATTTTCCACACAAGGTATACAGGTTCAAAAAGGCCAGAGCTGAGAGCAGTGTGACAGGAAATCCAGAGTCATGTGTCCTCCAGAGAGAGGACATTCCAGCCGGACAGTCATGGATGCTCTTCACCCTGCAGCCCTCTCCCCAAGGCGGGCTCAATCGCAGCTACCTGCTTCACTTGAGCCACCTCCTCAACCAGTAAAGCTCAGGGCAGCTCATGAGAGAGGTTTAGCTCTTTCTTACATCTGTTGCAAATGGAAACGACAAAATGCGCTGTCTTTATTTTTGGAAGAGAACAAGACAAAACAAACAAAAACAAAGTCAAAACTCAACAAAGAAGGGGATAGCAACATTATTTTCAAAGCGTTGGTTGAAAATCTTACTCTAGACAACTGAATGAGAATGTACTTGTGGTCTCTACGTGGATTCTACTGTCAGACACAAAATATTTTTCTTCGTTGAAATAAGCATCGCGTAATGCTCGGTATCAGATGACATCAGCCATAGAGTTGGTTTTTAGCGTTGCTTCTTTTGGTCAACGAAGCCATCCATTGCATGAAAGATGCCCAAATAATCAGCTATAGCCAGTCCCGTGCTGAGGGGCAAGAAGCTAAAAGGGAACATAAGAGTAAACTTTCTTGAGTATCATTCATGAAAACATCTTTACCAGCTCAGCTGAAAAGCAGTGTCCCCTCTTGTCACAGACGAAGTCATTCAATCATGCATACATTATGCGGCCTCAGTGTCACTGGGCCTTGTCTGCTGTTTGGAAGGACACTTGCCCAGGGCCTCATCAGCTGTCCCAGCTTTACATACATGGTTCAATTCCCTTCTCATTTCAGTTGCCAAAGCATCACTACATTCTATAATGACAGGGAGGAAGCGGTGAAGTCTTGTAGCCTAGGCAGGGAAGCAGATGGTGCCTGGCTGGATCCTAGCTCTGCCATTTGCAACACCAGCTCAGGCAACTGACTTTGCTCCTAGGTGTCAGTTTCCTCAAGTGTAAAATGAGGTGACCGATCTTTCTTTCTGGGACTCCTATGAGAATGAGAGGCAGTAGCTCCTCAGACTTTGGCAAGACCAAACTAAGACTGTCCGTCTTCTCTATCCCCACTTGCCCCTCTGCAAGCCCATATACACATAGGATCATTATTCAGACAGAAAGCTGTGCTCCAATGACCTTGATCTTCAACACTGCTGATTGAGGAAAGGTACAAAGCAGACAGAAAAACTGGGACTTGTGTGAAGGATGGGATAAAGAACCCTGTGCTCACTGCCCTTCTGGTTGGGTACCCCAAGATCTACAGGTGGTCATGGCCTTCCCAACATCAGGTCTTTGGTCAAGCATCAAGCATTACCTTCTTGGTGAGACTCTTGTTCCCTGAATGCCATACTTTAAAAAAAAAATCTCTATTTGCAGCCCTCTAACTTCCTCTCTGAGACTCCTTTCCCTACTTTATATTTCTTCCTAGCACTCATGACTTTCTCTTTTACTTTACTTTTTTGTTTCTTCCCTGCCACCTACCCCCTGAGAAGATAATTTCCACATGGGCAGGGACTGTTGTCTGTCTTGTTCTTTGCTGTGACCTCAGGTCCTTGGATAGTGGATGATTCATGACACAAATACACAACGATCTATACGTGTTTGTTGAATGATGTTTGAAGGAGTGCTTGATGTGATCCCCTTCATTGAGCCTCTTCATGTTTCTTTTAGACTTCTCAGGAATATTGAGCTGTCTCTCAAAATGTGGCCCAGAAGCATTTTTCATAAAAGTAAATGTAATCTTCGTAATTATTCAAAGTAGAGAGATTAATGGTGGTACCTATAATCACAGTGAGTTTGAAGGTTGAGGCAGGAGGATCGCTCATCATAAAATAACCATGTCCCTTTTTTTTTTTGATGAGCAAGGTATTTGAGACCAGTCTGAACCACATAGTAAGACTGTGTCTCTACAAAACCCCCCCCAAATTAGACAGGCCTGGTGGTAAGTGCCGGAGTTCTAGCTAGTCAAAAGACTGAGGCAGGAGGATTATTAGAGCTCAGGAATTTGAGGCTTCAGTGAGCTATGGTTGCACCACTGTATCCCAGCCTGGGCAACAGAGCAAGACTCTGTCTCTAAAAAAATATTAAAAATTACAAAAACATTAAGTCCTTGTTCTTTCATTGGCATTACTGTACTATAAGCTGCTACCTAGTAGGCAAAAATTACTCAGTGTGCTGTGAACACATCCCTTGTCCAATAGGCAGTACGTTACACTAATGTACAGGCTGTGACAAACTTTTTTTTTATGTTGTAAATGAGCACACTGACGTCTGAAGCATAAAGGGCAGGCGCAGAGTCACAGAGTTAGTAAATAGCGGGATCGTGAGCCCAGATTTCAAATTGCTTGTCAAAGACTCTTTGCTCTGCCCTACACAGCCTCAGCGAGCCGTATCGACCCCTCCTGTGCCAGATGAAGCCTGGAGAAATGACAGGATGCAAGAATGACTTTGATTTACTGCACAAAGTAGATATAATCAGCTGATGAGAATAGAAATTTCTGTATACAGAATGGGCAGTGGCTGCTAGCCATGCGGTGAACATGAGGTAGAATATCTACGTTCCCATAACAGAAGAATTATCATTGTCAAAAGGAATGCAATGACACATGGAGCTGGGGGCAAAGCTAGGACCAATGAGAGAAAGTGAAGACAAGCCAGATTGCAACTCAAGGTGCTTCCTTGTAGAGTAAAAACCCTGATGAGGGAAGTATGATGAGATGACCTGTTACAGTGTAGAAAATGAATTGAGACAGCAGAATCAGCAGCTGCTTCAGCTGTTCGGCACCACTCTCCCTGTAATCATCAAATGTTCATAAACTGTAGCTGAGGCATTTCAGCACTGAAACCCAACGGAAAGCAGGGAAGGGTAGGCAAAAATCCTTCCCTGTGCTTTATGAGGTCGTTTTCATTTTTTTCCTCAAGTTCCTTGACCATCCCGTTGCTCAAATTTATTGCCAATTGCATCCCTACCACAGATTTCTGAAGCACTTGGCTTACGATCTGGCCTTGACTTTGGGGCCCTGTACTTGAGGGAGCACAGACAATAACATCTATTCCAACGTGGTTACTTTATGATGAGCACAAGAAAGTCTCTCCCACGAAAACCCTATAAACCTTTCCATAGATCATTCAGTATATCCACTTCTTTTTGACAATAACGTAACACGAAGGTATCAGGAAGGGTTCAACACCATTTTTTTGACTCTTGTAGGGGCTTACAACTATGCAAATTTGGGATTGGTGCCAGCAGTGGGCACAATGATGGGCTCAACAGGACTTGGCAGATTTTCCTTTTTAAAATTCATTAATGTAACAGATATTTAAAAGTGATTCCTCCTGGTAGGACTTGGAATAAGCTGTTGATTGGCACATCAGGGGAAGTAATAGAAGTTGATCTGGTTACCTTTTTAAAAACACCAAGAAGTACAAAAACTTCGGCATATACAAGTACAGCTTTTCTCGCAGAATGGCATCTATTATTTTTCTGACTGCATATTCTGGTTCCAGAATTGGCAACAGAGAAGGACAGCTAGGATATTGAAACAAACAAACAAAAAAAACCAAAACAAAACACCCTCAAATTAACAAATTAATATAAAGATGTATTCAAATTAAGGATAAAAAGGTTGTAAGTCATTATCACTTATTGCTTTTCTTTCCAGATATCATCTATTCCTATATTTATTCCCTTATTATCAATGCAGTAAGCAAACACAAAACTAGAATTTGAAATGAAAAATGTTAATTCTAATTAATACACTGATATTACCATATACATAATGTGAAACCATATTAAACGGAAGTTCCAAATGTTTGTAAAGCAAGTTGTTGAAAACATATTTCCTACTGTCTCCATGATATGCAGAATTGGGCGTTTGTGCATGTTATGGACCAGATGTTTGTGTCTCCCTCAAGTTTGCATGTTGAAACCTAAATCACCAGTGTGATGGTTTTAGGAGGCAAGGACTTTAGGAGGTAACTAGGTCATGAGGGTGGAGCCTTAAGTGAATGGGATTGATGTCCTTATGAGGCTGTTGGCACTTTAATCTTGGACTTCTAGCCTCCAGAACTGAGTCAGAAACTTCTGCTTTTAAGCTGTCTAGTGTATGGTATTCTGTTAGAGCAGCCCCTTCCATATGAGTAAGACAGTGCCCCATCAGTGATTTTCAGTTTTCCTGGAATCACAGAGGGTAGAACAGGATTGAGTGGCAGAAAGGGGATGTGGCCAGGAGAGCTCGGAAGATGGAGAAGGAGACCGAGGGCCTGGGGTCGGGGGACTACTAGGTAGACACTGCCTTGATAAACCATTTGCATTTGACTTAGTATCTTATACTTAGGAAGAAAAGAAGAATTCTGAAACCCTTTGTAAATCAGGCTGAATCCTAGAAAAATATCTTCTAAACAACTTTAAACAAAAGATATAATAAAATCAAATAGATAGGCAATCTTTTTTTCTTTTTTGAGTCGGAGTCTCACTCCGTCACCCAGGTTGAAGTGCAGTGGCACGTTCACGCCACCCCAGCGACGACCTGCTGGGCTCAGGCGATCCTTCTGCCTCAGCCGGAACTACAGATGCACATTACCATACCCGGATAATTTTTTGATTTAGTTTAGAGATGAGGTCTCGTCAAGTTACCCAGGCTGTTCTTGAACCACAAGTTCAGGCAACCCGCTCACCTCAGCCTCCCAAAGTGCTGAGATTACAGGCTTGAGCCACCGCGCCCAGCCTAGGCAATCTTTTTTAGGTGTAATCTATCACAGAAACAAAGAACAGAGTGCCATATGTTCTTACTCATAAGTGGACCTTGAACAATCATAATACTATAAGAAAGTGCTTGGCAGTAGTGGGAAACTGTCAGGGGAGGAGGGTGGGATTGGCAGTTGAGGGAAACTGCTAGGGGAGGGAGGGGCACACCTCATCAACAAGGGTGCCTGCATAATCAACGTTTGTATCCTTAACCCTGAATTGTACCCCACATCTTTATAATAATAATAATAATAAAAATAAAAATAAAAATAATAAAAAGAATGTAGTGCCTTTGAAGTCAAAGGGCATACTTACCCAGTAGTACAACCTTCAAACATCCCAGTTTTTATAAAAAATGGGCACACAATTGTGGTTTTGACTCCCCTTTGTTTTTGGGCAAATGTTTCTACAAACATGGATTCGGCAAATCCAAGTGCTGCGAATTTACTCGCGCAATAATCTGAAAAAGACAAACAATGACAGTGTGTGTTCTAAGTATTAAAATATAGTCGCACTAAGGTTTGCTCATGATGCTAACAGCAGCAGGGACTGCGGCAACAATTTCAGAGTTCGTTTATATAAACTTGGTCTACTCCCACTGGAAGAAGTGAGCAGTGAGCAGGAAGGGACACGATCGACTAAAGGTCAGTCGATGATAATGACCAAGTAGACCCAAAGGTAGAAAGGACTGTGGGGATTCTCCTCTAGGTCACACTGCTAGATTTTACTTACAAGTTAATGAATTGTCAACCTCTGTGCTACTTGTTACATGAATATAAGCTGTGCAGCCAGTCCCTGTCTCAAAAAACTGCAGCCCCACTGGGACATGAAGACATATAAAAGGAGAAATAAAACAGTACGTGATCCTCCAGCTAGACTGGTTATATTAAAAAAACAACAAACAAACAAACAAAAACCAGTAAGTCATGTAAGGATCTAGGCAAGAGAGGTCAGCATGGGTCATGAGTTTCAGATCAAGTTTTCTTCCAACTATAACTCTTTATTCCATTTCCATATTTAAAAAAAGAAAAAAAAAAGACGCTGTAATTTCAACCCCTGCTTCCTGAATACATTGAAAATGTAGAGGGGAGTGAAAGTGGCATTTTTGTCCATTTTGAACTTTCTTTTTTTTTTTTTTCCAAGTTGGAGTCTTACTTTGTCGCCCAGACTGGAGTGCAGTGGCCGCTCCCGGCCACCGCAGCCTCGACCTGCTGGGCTCTGGTGATCCTTCTGCCTCAGCCTTCCAAGTAGCTGGAACTACAGGCGCGCGCTACCACGCCCGGCTAATTTTTTGAATTATTGTAGAGATGAGGTCTCGACAAGTTGACCAGGCAGGTCTCGAACCCGCGGGCTCAGGCAGTCCACTCACCTCAGCCTCCCAAAGTGCTGGGATTACAGACTAAGCCACCGAGCCCGGCTCATTTTGAACTTTCTATCTTTAATCACACTTGCTTTATTCTATTCATTGAATGAAAAAGTTTGGAGAAGAAACAGCGTTTAGGTGGTTTCATAGTTTCTTTGCCTCACACAGTCAGAAGAGGCAAACTTACCTGCTATATTGCAATGTAGGTGCAACAACTGGCAAGAGTCAGGCTACAAGTGCCAGGTCTGAGGTTGTTCACCCCAGTGTTACCCAGACAATCGGTCAGAGACTGCAGGCAGGGAAGGGAAGAAGAGAAATCCAGTGCAGCTTCTAGGATCACTGGAGTTATCTATTATAAATGTGGCTACCTGAACCCCTCTACCCACAAGATTCTGATGAGCAGATATGGCCCAAGACCCAGGAAATCTGGGTTCTCAACTAGCACCCCTGGTGATTCTGATGCAGGGGAGACAAGAACCATACTGCAGGAACTATAAAAGGTTTATACTTGTTTCTAAGGTGAGCTGGGATGGGAGTTATATAAGAAGGTAGGAACATTATGTCTGAAAAAGGATTGATAGGAACTGTAAATAAGCCCGTATGATTTCAAAGACCCGTGACTTACCAGACATCTAAGAGAGTGGTAATAATAATACTGATAACTTCTAAAAAGGAGAGAGGAAAGGGAGTCCAGGGAGACTAGACTAGCAATATTTGGGGTGACTAGTGGCTCTGAAAAACCTACTAATGTAATAGAGACATACAGAGCTGAGACTAGTTTTGTGAACCTTGAACTATGCCACATAGCACAAAAGCATTCGGAAGTGCCCAATCTACAAACTGTCCCATCTGTTATTTGAGTGTTGTTGCTATAGTTTTGTCGGATGAGTCTTAGTAATCGGATGCCAGGGCTCAGGGCATTTGCTCTAGGGGACACCCTGATAGGTAAGGTCAGAGCTTCTAATCCTTCTAGAGCCGGTTCCTGGGTTGGTCATCTTTGGCTAAGGATCTTAGGGGTCTCTTTGCCCCCTCCCACTGCTACTGTCAAGTCAGTTGACTGTTGCAAGGGAAATAAAATGACCACAACTTCCTGCGGGTCTGCAATCAGTGGAAAATCAAAGAGGTTAATTTGAGGTTTCTTGAGGTAAAAAAAACCTTCTCCAAACTCTCTTTAGAGGGAGACACTGAATGGAAACTTCAGGAAAAGGCAGCGGGGGTGTCCAACTTACCATCTTGTAATAGTGCCAGGTGAATTTTGGGAGGCAGTCGTCGTATCGATCACTTGTGCATAAAATATTTCAGCGAGGCCTGTCTTTCTCTCTTTTAAATCTAGGGGATTGCATAAGACCTAGTGATCCCAAAGGGCATTGTCCAACTTCATGTAAGACTATCTGATGGGTGATTTTGCTGATTAATGAAGTTCTTGACTAATATGTTACTGACTAAATCAGGTGATGCTAATTATCCAGGGTTATTGTGTAAGTTAAGGTTGCAAGGAATTTTGCAATTGTAAAATACTACATTTCTCTTACCTGCAAGGCCGTTTACTCCAATTAATCCGGCTGAGCTTGAAATGCAAACCAAATGCCCGTGGTTGTTAGCAATCATGGCAGGTAGAAAGGCTTTATAAGTCTAAGAAGAGCAAAGGAAAGCTTTTCACATTCAATACCACATTGCATACTTTTCTCAGATGTTTGTATGGTCATTGTGATTAGCATTTTTTTTCCAGCTCATAAAAATACCCGAAGACATTGGGATATAAAAATGTAAACATTTGGAAAGTAACCATTTTAACCTGTTAAATCAATATTTTCTTAAGGCAATTCTATTATTTTCATCAAAACTAATTTCTTCAAACATGTCTTTGCTCATATTTGACTTCTAACAACACAATATTAAGGGGCAAATTGAACTCGTATAGGAAAATCAGTGTGACAGTCATAATCCAAAAAACATGGAGATATGATTGTTTAGATTTATATTGCCTTTCCCCCACCTTGGTTTAATATTGGATTTCAACTTTTCCCCAGACATTGTTCACAGCACATCCTGTTTGGGCTTCAATTTTAAATGGGCACTTTTGTTTCAAACTCATCTCTATTTCTTTGAATACACTTCTTATTTTTATTTCACTGTATAAAGTAGAATATCTATTAGAAAGAGGGTGTATCTGAGTGCTGTATGACACCTTCACTTCTGATTGGGGGCCTGGAGAAAGAAGCTGAAGGAAAGTGAGGTGGGCTTTTGGAGAAAATGTCTTCTGCCACAAAGAAGCAATTAATCACATCTGAAGACAAGGAGGTAAGAAAAGGAATCTTTTACAAGCATCCTTTGTTTGCCTGCATTGTAATAAGTCTCAGAGAGAAACTGTCAGGTAGACGGAGGTGGGAAATCAAAACAGACACAGGAAAAGTAAACAAGGCAGCACAACAAAAAGCACCTTGTGTCTGGGGTCTGGTGGAGTTGCTGGACTTCTCAGTGGGGACACTGCCTTTGAGAGGCCGGCTGTCAGGCAACTCTTGGGTCCTCTAGTGATGAAGTCACTAGTTTTATGCCTGGCAACATGCAGGTGTTAAAAGAATATACATGAACTTGCCCATGAAGGAGTGAACAGCGTGAGAGAATACAAGGGAATGGTAGGGACCAGGAAAACACCTGCATTTAAGGAGCATTGAGGAACATTATGGCAATTCCTTTCATTCTGGCTATATGCTGAATATAAGCACAAATGAGAGGGACATTTGGGATGAGATAGATCATTTGCACTAGTTCCTGTAGAAACACAGTGGTCATTAAGTTCTGAATCTTTCAATTTGTCTCCTGAATACCATAAAAAAACACCAAGAATACCACCATACCACTAGCACCGTAACATTTTTGGTGGAAGCAGGGAACAAGAAATCGATAAACTCCAAATTACATTTGAAGGCTGCTGAAAAATAGTTGGGTGGGAAAAGTGTGAAGAGCTCAGAAATTTCCGAAAAATACTTATTTACAGAGGCAGAGAGCCTTGCCCAGGGAATCACAAGTGTGAGTAGAGCTGGAACCAAGCAAGTCAAAAGCTGGGTGAGGGAGCATGTGTGGCATGACGAAGCCTGAGATGTCTGGTCTCAACAAAGGCCAGGAAAAGGCAACTTCTGGTCTTGAGTGCATCACTTTAGAAGTCAGGGTTTTGCTCCTAACACTGGCGGCATGTGGTAACCAGAGCTACTGGCAGAACATCTCCTTTCTTCGGTTAGGTACCAAGGCCTTGGTTTGTCCAGAACAGATCCAACTAATGCATGCTTATCAACAGCTTAGGCAAATTATAAAGTTACCCTGATCTTGTCTAAGTGCAGTCACTAGCTACAAGGTGTAGAGCAAATCTTTTAAGTTCTATGATCCCTTATCTGAGCTGTTTAAGGAAAATCTGTGAGCTGCCTGGGATATTCCCTAACATTTGCCAGCAACCAATAAATGGTAGTATAACCATGAGGACAGTTCTGTCTTTGTAGGATTCCTTAAGCAGAGGCTTCAGGGGGTCAGGAGAGGGTAACTGGATAGACTAGTCCAAAATTTGGAAGTCTGTGCTTTATTCAAAGGCTAATGATGGTGTGAAAAGAGCAAGAGGAAAGTACTTCCAAACTGTATATTTATTGTGAGAAGAAATAATCATTACCCATAAATGTGCCTTGAAATTTACATCAAATGACTTTTCCATAAGTTCATCTGGGCAGTCGAGGAACTTTCTGCCTGTTACGATTCCAGCATTGTTGATTAAGATGGAAACATCACCAACTTCTTTTTTAACCTGAATTAAATACAAGAGAAACACCACTGATGTAGCAATTCCTCATATAATCTAGGTTTTATTTTCCCATAGTTTTATATGCTTTTATTCTTGTTAACACGGGCTGACTTTATGTACCCTAAAACAAAGTTGGTTTTATTTCCTTTGCTGAGTCTACAGTGCACCAGAGATCCAATTCTGATGTTTTTCTTCTCATTTCTTCCTCTCATGTTAAGATGATTCCAATGTTAAAATGTTTCTTTCTTTCTACAGTCATAGCTATTCTTAAACTTGGGGATTAGTAACTTTGTTTTATTCTCTATGTAAGTAGTGTATCATTTCAATAAACGGATAGGACATAAGAATAGCTCCATTATAGCCAAACACTATATCAAGACTTGGCACACATGGAGATGGCAGTGATGAAGGGAGCAAATGGAGGAAGAAAGAAAATATAGTCATGTCTCTCTTAAAGGTGGGTACACATTCTGAGATACACGTTGCTAAGCAATGTTGTTACTGTGTGAAAATCAGAGTGAACTCACACAAACCTTGATGGTCTAGCCTACTACACCTAGGCTATATGGTACAGCCTATTGGTTCCAGGCTGCAAACCTGCACAGCATGTTACTCTATTGAATACCAGGCAGTTGGAACACAGTGGGAAGTATGCATGAATCTAAACATAGAAAAGGTACAGTAAAAATACTGTAATAATAACCATATCGTACATGTGGGCCATTATTGACTGAAATGCCTTCTTGTGGCACATGACTATATTTATTTTAAACACACAGCACAGACTAGAATCTGCATGTCCTGTTTCATAAACTGACTGGTTTCCTTCTGTCCAAGGGTGGACTTTCTGAACTTGGGTCTAAAGTATAGCTTAGAGACATAAGCTACCAAAGTTATCAGGGACTCGGCACAGGTAAAACAGTCATATCACTTTGAAAAATTTCTCCTTGATCACTTGTCCATGGGATACTTCAAAATTCTTTGATATTTTCCTTCTGTCCAGAATAAAAAGTAAAAATAGTTGGCGTATAAGAGTGAGGAGTTATCTGCTTCCCCTGAATTCAGAAGAGCACATAATTCTCTCAAAGATTCCAAAGTGATAAAAACTGGATGGACAGCAAGCTAGATATATGACATGTTTAACATGTTTACAAAGCCAAGCACTTGGGCCAGAACTAAATCACAGATACAAGGAAAAAGGAGGTTATTATTTGTAGAATATTTCATACTAGTTTGCTCCACAGTTGACAATCTTCACTGTTTGATTATCGCTTAAGATTGGTCAGATAAGTTATAGAAGCCAACATGCCAGGTAATTGGTGCTTAACTTATAAACAGCAGAATTTGTGAGGTCAGCTACAGCAAACTGCAGACTGCCCGCACTTAGAAGAGGGTCCCAGTGTAAGCCTGAGTGAGTTTGTCAGGTTTGAATTCCCAGTCTGTACCAGGCAGCCTGTGATTGGAGATGATGGTAGCAGAGATGCAAGTCTTAAAGACAAACTTGAAAGTCAGAAACTCACCTGCCAGTGACCTGAAACCTTAACAAGAGGATACTTACTGAGCTTAGAAACTATGGAAGAACTTTATAATGTAGTATGGCTGTTAACAGCAGGCTTGGCTGGTTCTTCCCGTCTCACTATATTAAGCAATACTGGGAGCCATGGGCAAAACAGACCAGGAGAGTGATGAGTCAAGTATTCACGCCCATGTGAGGGCACAGAAATCCTCTGAGGGACAGGCACGTGCCTCTATGATATGGTAAGAAATTCCATACTATTGGAGTTTTGGTTTTCTGAAAGCTCTCTATAATCGCCAAAGCAGCAAATGTGGTTAGGAGCCATTAGGATGGATACAAGATTCTGATTTTCCTGTGAGTACTCAAGAGAAATACACATTCAAATGTAAGGCATTGTGGTGGGGTGGACATAATCTAGATTCAAAATTGGACTAAGTAAGGGTTCAAATCCTGGCTCAGTCATGCACTAACTCCGTGACCCTTGGCAGGTTATTTAGTATCTCTGTATCTCAATTTATTCTCAAAGAAGGATGTCTCACCTACCTCTTGTCTTTTATTATAATTGTTGCTGTTGTTATTATTATTAAAGTTGGAGTCTCACTCTGTCACCCAGGCGAGCCTTTCGCCTCAGTCTGCCAAGTAGCTGGAACGACAGGCATGTGCCACCCCACTTGGCTATTTATTTTTTATGTTTTTATTTACCATAGAGACAAGGTCTCACCAAGTTGCTCAGGTTGGTCTTGAACTCCTTGGCTCGGGCAAACCTTTCTCCTTCATCTCCCAAAATGCTGGGATTACAGGCATAAGCCACCATACCTAGCCCATCTGTCTCTTTCTTACACTGTGACAGGGGCCAGTACAGTCAGCGTAGTGTAGCAGTTAGGAGCAGGCACTCAGGCGCAAACAGACGCAAGTGCCAGTTTGTAGCTCTGCTGCTGACTACCTGTGTTTCTTAGGTAAACCTGCCCTAAGCATCCATTTTTTTATTTGTGAAATGAAAATAATAGTGGGTTTTACTTTATAGGGTTATAATACACACAGAGTACTTAGCACAGTGTCTTGCAGACAGTAAAACTCAAAAATCCTAATTCCTACTCTCCCACAATATTTTTTTTTAAATTAAAGGGTCACTGGAGACAGGCTAATAGGCATGGAGAAAGGCAGATGAACAAAGAAACAGATGCTTGTCAAAGTATAAAAGTAAGTATACAAGAGTTACCTGATCAGCCACTCTATACACTTCCTCCTTTTGACTGCAATCGCAGATATAGGCATGCACCCTTCTGGCTCCAGCTTCCTGAGCCAGCTTGCATGTCTCCTCATTCCCCTCCTTACTGACATCCCAGAGGACAAGCACAGATCCCAGGTGGGCGAATTGCAAAGCTAAGAGCCTTCCGAGTCCACTCCCAGCACCTGTGATAAGAACTATTTCACCAGCAACGTTCTTCCGTGGCTTTGGGATTATGGTAGAAACCAAAGCCTCCAGAACAGTATACAGTGATTTTCCTAAGAAAACGAGAAATTTCTTTGTAGATTGCAGGCTGGAAGACATGTTCTGGCTGATACCTACGAAGAAAGATAGACTCATATAAGGACTTAGTTGTTCATTTCCTCTGTTCATTGCTTATTTCGTGAAGCTCCTGCTTTTTGAAATAGTGAAAGTAACCAGGATGTGTGATTTAAACAGCTCTCTTGGTAGCAGCAGACTCTGAATTCAGAAATGGGGAGGAAACCACAGAAACTATATCTCGCCCACCTTTCTTACCTGGCCCCAAGTTCGGCACACATATCTGCACGCCTGCTATGTGTAGTACGCAGAGATGTTTGTTAACAGAGGCTGTAACTACCAAGCCCAAGTTTAACCCCAAGGATCAGTTCATTGTTTCCACCCAGTTAGCCTTCCTTCCTAGGAATCACGAGTCTCGCTGGTTGATTCTATGTCCAAAGTCCTGACCACATCATAATGCTTATGATGCAACAGCTACCTCTCTTGTTTTATTTTTTCTCTCCTTTAGGTGTGTGCTTTCTCATCTGCATTGTCAGTCTTAGTTTTGCGTTATTCATTAAAACCTGAGACTTGAAAGGAAAATGTAAGATCCTATTTATGAAGTATATGAAGGGAAGTAACTAGATGTTCTAAACTGCCAATGAATTTGCTGTCAGTCCCAAATTTCCCCTCTCCAGGCTCAGAGGTCCCCGAACCACCAGCTCCATGGCACTTACCACTCTGCTGTGTGACTGCAGATCAGAGATGAGACAGACCAGGACTCCCGCCCTGCTCTGCCTCTGCATACCTGTGAAACCCGGGCAGGCTACTTGACCTTTCTGGGCCTCAGCCTCCTCATCTGTCCTGGTCCTGTGGCATAGGATGGCTTTGCTGATGAAATGAGAATATTTGTTCTATGCTCGACCACAAGGTCTGGCTTACAGTGTTTCACAGATGTTACTGTGTTTCTCAGATTCACGGTGCTGTCCACTAAGAAGGGACCCACAAGGTTGGCTGAATGAATAAAAAGCCTCTCCGTGACGAACTCCTACGGAACACAATGCTCATTACATCTTGCTATCAGTTACTCACACTTTAGTGATAACGAGCTTATAGGAGGCTTTACTAACCACTGGCTGAGGAAAGAAGACATGTTTAGCAGAGGCACACTGTGCTGGGGAAGGAGGTTTCCCTGAATGGGTGTTCAACTGAGAGGCTCGGATAGACACTGCTGTCAGGAGATGGGAGGTGAGTGGTGAAAGAACACCGGGCTTCACTTTGTAGTTTGGCTGAGGACAGACTCGTTACTGTCAATGGGTATGGGTGGACACGCTCGTCTACAGGAGGGCTTGATGCAAGGTCAGACTCCTTAAAATGTCAGAGTTGATATGACCTGCACTGCTGTTCCTGGCTTATTTCACGGATGAGCCTGAGGAGCAGAGGGAAGACGTATGTGACTTGTCCAAGGTCTCTGTCCTAGTTAGTGTGGGCTGGGTTAGTTCTTTTTTTTTTTGGCTATGGAGCACCCACCCTGTGCTGGTTTGATCTGGGCACGGGGGCCGAGGGGATGGGCAGCGTCCCATCATCTCTGTGCTGGTGAGCTAATCGATCTAGCTGAAGAGACACATTAAGCAAAGAAATGCATAGCTGCAAGCCATAATGTTATAAAGAAACTGTGGGGTGCTAGAGAGAAGGTGACAGAAGAGTTGATGCAGACTGGGTTGTGGGGGGAAGCAACAGGAAAGGTTGGTTGGGAAGCGGCCTCTGAGCGGACATCCAAATGATGAACCGTGGGAGGTGGAGAGATTGGGCCGTAACTTGCCCCGCAGAGGGACAGAATAGTTCGGATCTTGAGGCAGGTTTGACCTGTGTGTCCAGCACTGTCCAGGGAACAAGAATGCTGGCTCTAAGGAACATGGATGCTCTGGTCAGATGAAGAGCATTTTCTGCTGTGGAGCACTGGAGTTCACCATGCTTTGGATGAAACAGACCTTAAGCTCTCTGCTGTCTCTGCTCTGATTTATTTTCATAGAGTAACTTTTTGATTACTGATCGGGCCTCCCGGATGCTGTACAACATGGAAAGAAGTGCCCTGAAGGAGGACTTTTATTTTAAATACACAGTCATGGGGTGTGTCCCTCCAAACCTGCAAAGATGAGGGTCAGACTATGCACACAGTAACTGGGCACTCTGGGTACCCTCCTCAGCACTGCCAATAATTCCTCCAAAAGAAAATCCACACCAGGGTGACTCTGTCAGGCCACCACATTCTCTTTTGGGCACACCACTATATGAGTCCATGCAGAAGGACAGACTGAGGGGACTGCTTCTCCCCTCAGTAATCTCTGATACCTCAGCAATGGCCAGGAGTCTCAGCATCAACCCGGGTGACATGAAAGTTCTTAATACCAGTGCATTCTAGACTTCACTATCCCACATCTAGGCATGATGCAAGACCTGGAGTAAGCCCAACACTGATCTCTATCTTAGCAGATGTTTACTAGGTTCTTAGCTTGGTTGTTCGAGGTAACTCCCCATTTGGATTTAGGGTGCCTCTCATGTACCTGAATAGGCAGTGAAGTCTAGAGATTAAAGTTTAGGTTGGAATTCTGAATCTGTCACTGACTTTCTCTGCGACTTTGGTAAAAAAAACCACTTTGTTTCTTGTGCCTCAGCTTCCTCCTCTAAAAATGGGGATTCTAGTAGTACCTACCCATACTTACTGTGGGACTTAAACCAGCAAATACAGGCAAGGGGTTTAGAAACATATCGTCACTACTGGCCCATATGAAACCTCTGAACAAATTAGGAATAGAAAAGGCAGGCACTGCCCCGCACACGGTCCTCTCTGAGGTGCATGAGTGGGGGAGGGGTGAAAGAGAAGCTGGTTGGATTGCAGCCTCTGTCACGTAGGTTACACATCACCTCCCTCTCTGCTCCTCAGTCTGCATAATGTGACACAACCAAACCGTGGAGGCCTTGCGGGAACAGCGCTAGGCACCTAAGGACAGCAACATAATTGCTTAGAACTATGATGTGTGTTCCTGCTAACATATGAATTCATGCTCCTTGGCTGTATCAGGTCATAAGGTGCTTACAGAGTGAATGTACGGTTTCATTTTATTGTAAAGACGCTTTCCTAGAAAGTTACAGAGCGGGCAAAAGTTAATGTGGTGTCTCCATCCCATGGCCTGCTCAATCCAAAAGTTGATCTGACTCGGCGCAATGGAAACGGGCCCCGCTGGCTTCCCTGGCAAGGGCGCGGCATCAAGTCTGCTCCGGTGAGAGCTCCCGCTCGGAGGGG